GGATTCCAAGTCAATTGTGAAAATAAGATTACTCCTGTCTAGTTTACAAATCAAATGCTAAAGCTATTAGTAGAAATAGTAAAGTTCTGGTATATGTCCAAGTATGCATTTAAACCACAGAACATAAAAAGCTCCTTAGCAGACAAAATATCCAAACATGTATAAGGAGGGAGAGAGAGTGAGAGAGAAAGAGCAGGAAAGAGAGAACAGCAGAGAGACAGAGAGAAGTGAAAGTTAAGAAAAAACACAGAACATGTATTCAAATAGAATACAGTATTATGTGAGCATAGAGTTCACATTCAACAAATTTAACAGAGCTTAAGGGGGTACTAAATTAGGGTCAAGGAAAATCTTGATAGTAAGTATTGACAGGTTAGTATTATATATGTTGTAATTGTATTTAAAGTAACATTCGAAAAAAAGGACTAGGGGGATGACAAAATAAGAAAAGAAAATCTCTGGGAAACAGAGAGACATTTATTGTCATGTAATGAACTGAGAAAATATAGTCTAGAAGGAAATACATCCAGGTTGCAGGTTTAACATGGATAAGGATTAGCCATTTTGTAATCAACTCAAGCCTTTCCCACAAGCCTCACATGTTTCTGAACAAACAGATTGACTCAAAAACTCCACTTTCCAGTTTTCCATGCTCCAGAAGAGACATGCCCTGCATTGATATTCCCTGTGCAGTATACAGCCCAAAACATCCACCACCCATTGTTTCCTTTAGTTCAAATTTATGTTAGTGAACCTGTAAACCTCAAGTTTTTCTCCCTAGGAATGCTGCTTTGTTGCCCACTATTATACCACGTCTTCTCCATACAAATTCTATTTGATTACTTTATTGGTGGGTCAATCATATCCCATAGCCGTGCTTTCCTACGGTTGTATGTTTATTATACATTAAACACTGACAATGTGATTCATTGCACAAGAGACAGTCAGATACTGCTCTCACATTGCATTCTAAACTAATTCAGTAGGTTCCAAACTAATTTGTGAATGTCTTCCCTGCTGTCATTCTGTCTCAGTCATACATAATAAGCAGTTTATATACATCTATGACACTGGTTCTTGGTAATTCTATGCCCAAATTCTGTGGACCACCTCACAAAACAAGGTATTTTCAGGATCATCAGTCTTCAATCTTGAGCTTCATTCTCAAAATCTATAATAATCTAGAATCCATGGATTAGTAGTTGTTCACTGGCTGGAAATTGAGCACCACTTTGTTACAATATCCTTCAACCTAAGAAAGCTCTGGAATTCTATCTTTTCTATTCAGTATGTGCCCAAATGTGCATCAGGTGGCTGTCAGAAGACTTCAGTTCTCAAAAAGATTGCATGGTATAGTTGAGCTCTGCACCTGCAAAACCTATATGATGTGGGGAGAAAAAAACTGTATCCAGATAGTATTGTCTCCTCAGCTATTTTTTTTCAGAAATGCACTAACCATTGCATTGCCAAGAGACATTGTCCAAGAAATTAGTTTTAAAACTAGGTATCTTTCTATCATCCAAAGCCTTGATGCCAAACAACTTGGTACATTACACAGATATTAAAAAAAAAAGTGCTATGAATAACCTCCTTCTTTCCTGGGTAACCATATATCATGAAGATTTTATTTCGGTTTCAGTGTCTTCTTTTAGTTTAGCTTTCGGCCAGATCACACTTCAAACAGTTAAATCAGTAAGTGGAAATTTTACTTTTAACTTTTCTAATTAGACTATAAGTGAGATTTAATTATATTCATATTTAAAAAATAATTTAAATTGTGGATCCAAACCTGCTCAGATGCCTAGTTTGTTGAGCTCTAAGGTTAATTGTGGGCTAACTCAGTTGATATACAATGCATTAATAGAACTGATGGTATTTCTTGTATTTTATATTTTGTTTGTATTTTAAATTCTGCACTTCTGTTTTCATTTGTACATTTTTAACTTGAATTAAAAAATAAAGAGCCAGATGATGAAGTCCTTACTTAGGCTAAACCTCAGTTACTAGGACTTCAGTCTGTTACTAAAAAAAAAAATGTTACTGAAACAGTTGTTTTCTTATAATTATGAAATATCCCATAGAATTATCACTACATGTGAAAATAATTAGTGATTGCCTTTAAGTATTAAATTAAGTTACCCACTCATTCTTGTATTCAACAAGCTATGACAAACTTGCCTTCACCAAAAGCAGCTTTATAATGCCAGGTCATTATCTACAAAATGTGTGACTATTCCTGTTGACAGCATCTGCCTAGAGACAAACAAGGAGGATATTGTTAAGTAGAACTCAACATTTTATTATCTGGGCTTGATAGGCAATACAAGAAAGCTGCCCATAACCACAGAACACGTGGTATGATGTGACATTGGAAAAAGGTTAGGTGGTTCCCACATTAATGCAGTCATTTCTGTTAGCACACCAATACTTGGCTTTATAGCCTATTGAAAGAAGCCACTTGGGAGGCAGACTTCGTCTTTAACAAGATGATTGATAATAACAGGTTGGAATATGAAAAGCTGAAGTACTGAACTACTTCAGATTCAAACAAAAAGACATAAGTAATAAACTCTAAAATATACCAGCCCTTCAGCTGGTAGAACATGGCAAAGCCCATTAACTGCAAAGGAAGCACAGCAGACCTAGAACTTGAAGGCAAATACACTCTTAGTTGATTGATCTTTACTGTTTAGCACCAAATTCTGCAGGATTAATTCTTCAAAAGCTTTTAGTAAGTTTTATTTTCATAAACTTCATTGACTATGGTGATAATGGGTGCATCTACACAAGACATTTAGTGCATAATAGCTTAACAACAGTGTACAGTAGCATGCCAGGTAAAAACTGTGTTAATATGCTACTGTGCAGTAATATTAGGCTACTGCACAGTGTCACTAAAAAACTATGCACTGGTGCTACTGTGCAATAATTGTAGCCACTGTGTATTTAGTTAGTACTCCACTAAGCAAGTACTAAACTAAATGTGCAGTAACTACTGTGCATTATTGAATTTGTAGATGCACCCAGTGATACTCTACTTAAAGCCAACGTGACACTTTTACTTTACCTGATCATTTACAGGTTTGGAATTATGAATAATCAAGATGTTTTTCATACATAGACAACAGAGCTTGTGTTTAGCTCTTTGCTCATTTGACCACATAGACACTGACATGCAGTAACCTTTGTTTTGGAACTTTCTGTTTAGTTAGTTTGCAAGGACTTTATGAGTTGGGCTTTTAAAGTTTGACACCCATTTTGTGCCTACACTTTGCTGGAGAGGTCCCCAGACAGACACTTTACCTCATAATGAATATGCAAAAAAACCTGTCATTTCATAGATTTCATAGATTTCTAGGGTCAGAAGGAACCTGGTAAATCATGGAGTCCGACCCCCTGCTCCAGGCAGGAAAGAGCGCTAGGGTTAAGTAACTCCAGCCAGATGCCTGTCTGATCTCTTCTTGAACACCTCCAAGGTAGGGAAAAGCACCACCTCCCTTGGAAGCCCATTCCATATTTTAACAACCCTTACCATAAATAATTTCTTCCTTATGTCCAATCTAAATCTATTCTCCTTCAGTTTTTATGGCCATTATTTCTGGTAACCCCAAGGGGTGCCCTGATAAACAGTGTCCCCTATTCCCTGCTGACCCCTCCCCCTCCCGCCCTCCTGTGAATTTGTAGGCAGCCACAAGATCATCTCTCAGCCTTCTCTTGCAGGGGCGGAAGAGATTCTGGTCCCTCAGTCTGTTTTCATAGGGTATTACCTGCAGGCCCTCAACCATATGAGTAGCCCTTCTCTGAACCCTGTCAAGATTATCCACATCCCTCTTGAAGTGCAGCACCCAAAACTGGATGCAGTACTCCATCTGTGGTCTCACCAATGCTGCATAGAGGGGAATTATCACTTCCCTAGACCTGCTTGTGATGCACCTGCTGATGCAAGAAAGAGAGCAGTTAGCCTTGCTTATTATCTTGTCACACTGGCGCCTCATGTTCATTTTTGCATCAACCAGGACTCCGAGATCTCTTTCCATTGTTGTGGTACTCAGAATGGTACCCCCCAGTCTATAGGTGTGTTGGAGAGTCTTTCTCCCCAGGTGCAACACCTTGCATTTATCCTTGCTAAATTGCATCCTATTCTGATCTGCCATTTCCCCAGTCTATCCAAATCCACCTGAATTTGCTCCCTGCCCTCCAGTGTGTTTACTATACCCCATAGTTTAATATCATCTGTGAATTTGGACAAGGTGCTTTCAACACCTTCTTCCAAATTGCTGATGAAGATATTAAACAGTACTGTCCAAGGACAGAGCCTTGGGGTACACCACTGCCCAGATCCCTCCAGGGAGAAACTGACCCATCCACCATCACTCTCTGGGTGTGTCCCATAAGCCAGTTTTTTTCACCCACCTTACTATGAGAAAATCCACATCGCAGCTACTCAGTTTCTTCATAAAAGTTGGGTATGACACTGTGTCAAAAGCCTTTTTAAAATCCAGGTAAATAATGTCTACTTCCTGCTTCTAAGCACTTTGTGACCTTTTCATAAAAAGGGATCAGGTTAGTCAGGCAGGATCTACCTGCTATAAACCCATGTTGGTTGTCCCTTAACATTGTATTACCTGCACACCACCTGCAAATACGATCCTTTATGATTTTTTTCTAAAGTCTTACTGAGAATAGAGGTGAGGCTAACTGGCCTATAATTACCTGGGTCCTCCTTTCTCCCCTTCTTGAAAATAAGGACCACGATGGCCCTTTTCCAATCCTCTGGGACCTGTCCCAAGTGCCACGAGTGCTCAAACAGTCGCACCAGTGGTTTTGCTATATAATCGAGCAATTCCTTTAGTACCCTTGGATGAAGATCATTGGGGCCTACTGACTTAAGTACATCCAACCCTTCCAAGTGCCCCTTCACTAGGTCAGTGCTAACCGTTGGTGCATTGGTATTACTCTCACTCCAGACTAAAGACTCATTGGGAGGTGTATTTGTATCTGTGTGCAGAAAAACAAAAGCAAAGAAATTATTTAAGAGCTCTTCTCTTTCCATCCTATCACTTATGAGTTGCCCTAGTCCATTCTGTAGTGACCCTATGTTACCCTGCACCTTCTTCCTGCTCCCTATGTACTTTGGTCTGTGAGCGCGCCGCTTTGGTCCATGTGCACACCACTTTAGTCCCGCCTCCCCCTTTTGGTGCAGCCTGGGACACTTACTGAAGGTAAGTTCCTCACTCCTCACCGAGGGCAGGCAGTGGGGGCTGGGGCCTGGAGGCTGGAGCAGGCTTCGCCAGCTCCAGGGAACTGCTCTGCTCCCCCGCATCACCTCGGTGAGTGAGGAGGCATGTGGCATCAGGGCCGGGGAGTGGAGCACTTCCCCAGAGTTGGCGGAGTCCATGAGCAGTTCCCCGGAGCTGGCGGATCCTGTGCCAGCCCCTTGCCTCACCTTGGGAAGGAGCCACTACTTGTCCCAAGTGAGGCTCCGCCAACTCCAGGGAACTGCTCCGCAGGCTCTGCTGGCTCCGGGGAAATGCTGTACTCCCTGGCCCTGATGTCACATGCCTCCTCACTCCCCAGGGTGATTCAAGGGAGTGGAGAAGTTCCCTGGAGCAGGCGGAACCTGCACCAGGCCCCCGCACCCACTTCGCCTCACAGCTTACCTTCAGCTCCTGTCCCGGTGTGTGGCCTTGAAAAGTTAGTGCATGGACAAACGTTTAGTTGTGCTTGGCCGTGCACATGCGCACCTTACAGTGAACCTTGCCCACCAGGTTTCTGTTTGACCAACCAGGTCAAGATCTTTGTCTGCAAGCAGGAATGCAAGTTCCTCCTGCTTGTTTCCCTTACTTCCAGCATTATTAAAGAGACACCTAAGCCCCCTGATCAGTGCCCTTATTGTACTCCCTGCATCAGACATCAGGGAGCAATTATAGAAATGTAAAATGGTTCAGTACAGGAAGATGCTATGCAGATTGTTAACATTGCCAAATCTGTAAATCTGTCATAAAGAAATTATATGAAGGTTAAGGAGCGAGTCTTTTCTCTTCCCTAGTTTCATTTAGTCTGTCAATGTGGCTACTGAGGTTTGTACAAGTAGAGATGTCATAGAAAAATTGAAACAGAGCTATTGGGGTTTTGCCTGGGGGAGTGATTAAGGGCCTGTGGGCTGGAGATGATACTGAAAATCAAGAAACAGGGTTTCTATTTCTGGATTATTTTTTTTAAACACAATAATTAGAGAGACTTCAGCATTATAAAATTATCTTAAAATGGCACAATTCAGAGGGCATTTAAACCCAAATCCAGAAGTGAATAGTCCAGTTCTAGTGTAACTCCTGCTCTGAAGGTCCATAAAAATGCAATATGGAAATGTAATATAAGGAAACCAATAGGGCGGTGACATAATATTAAAGAAAGCCATCTCTTGTTTTAACTAAGACTTTCCTATACCATCTTCTAATTCTTCATTGTAAGTTGCACTAAATTGACTCTTTTTTTTACCTAAGTGGTAAAAATAGTTTTCAGAGAGACAAAACTACTGCAAGTGCTTCTGGTTGGTATCTATTTTTATAGGTCTTAAACACATGTAAAAAAACCCCTGATTCTCTTCTTGTAGCTTTGTTTCCTGTCCGTCTCACTCAGGGGATAGGAAAAGTAGCAAGTGGCTGGGATTTCCCAGCCCTGGAGCTGCACTCTGAACATATATACATATTAGGTTAGATTGGGCGTGACTTAGGCCAATCTATGTAGTGCACCTCCTTAGATGAATTAAGTTACATCTGGTCGGCCACTTTTGCCCAATCTAAACTCTCCAAATATATGTACCGTAGTTTGATTGATCTAAATGCAACATCTACATGTACCCTAAGAGTTGCAACCAGAGGCATAATAGAGTAGCTTGGCACCCAGGGAAGCAGTGCAACATACAACTTAAGTCATTTTTTTTTCTAGTGGTCCAATAAATATTTGTGGTAGAAACAACTGAAATGTATGCATCTTCCATTCAGATTGAAGGTGCTGGATTTCTTATTATAATGAAGAGAGGATGCGGCCAAATAATCAAACATCCTTTTTAAAAGAGATAGGAAGATTAACGAGAAACATGAGAGGATATATAATTAATACTCACACAATTAAAATTTATACTTTGTTTTTACTAAAGCATAATATAACTTAATTCTAACTAGCTAGCTGTGCATATAAACACTGTACCTGGCAACTCCATAATAATCAAGATCAGTAAATTCTTATCCAACAAAACTCAGCTTTTGTGCATTCTTGAATGGTATATCTTCAGAGCAATAGTTTATATCCCTCATGGTAAACTTGAGCTGTGTTGCAGGTGTTTTAGTTTATCACTAAGAGGAAATGACTTTTTTTACACCTAATTTAATCTGAAGCTATTCACAGTTTAAAATGTTCAGTAACAGCGACCTTTCTAATGACTAACACATTGCAGGTGGTCCAATAGTAGGCCAGTGGTTAACATTTGCTATTGCAGAGACCGAATTAAATGTCCACCCAAGTGTTATTTTCTTCCGTTTATAGTATTAAAACAACAGCTGGCAGAAAACTAAGCCACAATTAAGGAGCTTCTGAAAAAGTTTTGATCTATTTGGTTCCCACAATAAGATAGTGTTGCCTTTTACTCTTATTGAAACTCTGGGATTTTAATAGTAAAATGTATTTCCTGTAACGCAAATGTAAATAATAGACTTCAGATATTCAGGGCCAAATCATGTAGTCCTTACTCAGTCCTTCTGCAAGCAAAACTCCCATTGACTTCAATGAACAGGGCCTGATCTCACATTCCTTAATCAGACAACAAACTTAAACAGGTGCTTTATTTAAATGAGAAATCAGAGTATCGAGTCAATCCTAAGAAAGTACTTTAAAATACAGTCTTTTTTCACAAATGGCTTTAGGGAAGCTCAGTTCAGTAATCACATAATTGCGGCTACTTGCAGATGTTAAAAAAATCCAAAAATGGCATGGCAAACTTGGCACATTCCTGGGTTGAGCCCAGCACATGACCAAAAGAGGCAGTGTGTTAGTTTGACCCAGCTCTCCTAACATCTGTGTAGGCCAGGTACATTAGTGGGGGCCAGGGGGGGTTGGTGCTTTTATCTGATAGCTGATTGAATCAGCTTTAGATAAGAGCACCCAAAAGCCCTGCTGACATGCCCAATCTATACAGAAGCTTCAGAGCCAGGTTGAAGTACCACACTTCTGCTTCTAGTATAGCATGGTTTTGGGTTTTTTAATATCTGCAAGCAGCCTATATGTAATATAATACCGGAAGCTTCAGAGTCATTTTTTAGCTCATTTTTGCTATGGCAAAAATTGTGGATGCAAGCTAAAAAGTCCAGAGCTACATAAACATATATCCATATTTAAGAATCTAAAGGAAAAATGATTTTTGGACTTGATTTTAACAGGATTTTTTTATCATTACCTATATCCAAAATAATCTGTTTTTCCTCTGCTGTGCATATACAAATGAAATAAAGATGCAAAGGGTACTCTGGCTAGTCATAACTGCAATCAAATAGAATCTTCCCAGTTTCAGAGCTTTTTTTCTTGTAACATTTACAGTATTGCCCAAATTAAGTAGTTCATGGTCCCTCTGACATAAAGCAAATAACATGAAACAACCATGTTGGGTGGAGCTGCAGATACACTGGAGGATAGGCTGGGATCCAAAATTACATGCATAGACTAGAGAAATGGTCCGCAATCAATCAAAAGAGATTCAACAAGGAAAAGTAAAAAGTCCTGCACGTGGGATGGAATAACTGCATGCACAAATACAGATTGGGGAATGACTTGTTAGGCTGCAGTACTGCAGGGAAGGATCTGGGAATACAGTAAACTATAATATAAATATGCACCAACAATGTGCTCTTGTTGCCAAAAAAAAAAAAGGCCAACAGCATATTTGGTTGTATTAAAAGGAATGTCACTTGCAAATCAAGAGAAGTGATTCTTCCACTCTTCAGCACCGGTGAAGCCTTACCTGGAATGCTGTGTCCAGTTCTGGGTCCCACATTTCAAGAAGGACATGGACTGTTGAGAAAAAGTCCAGCACAAAGCAACAAAAATGATTAGGGGACTTAGAAGCAAGACATAGGAGGAAAGGCTGAAAGAAGTGGGGTTATTTAGTCTTGAGAAGAGAAGACTGAAGAGGGATTTGATAACAATCTTCCAACGCGTGAAGGGTGATTATAGAGAGAATGGAGTTGGGCTTTTCTCTGTGGCTTTAGGGGATAGAACTAGGAGAAATGGCCTTAAACTTCAGCATGGGAAATTTAGGTTAAAGATTAGGACGATTATGAGGGTGGTCAAGGATTGGAACAGGCCACCTTGAGAAATTGTGGAATCTGCATCCTTGGAAGTTTTCAAGAGCAGGTTAGACAGAAACTGTGCTGGGATGATTTTTAGTCAGGAATGATCTTGTCTTGAGCAGGGCACTGGTCAGTACCCAGCATTTTATAAGATCAGCCCTGAAAAGTTGATTGACTTTTATTAGTTGATAACTATCTTATCCAGAGGGTACTAATCATGATAATATCTAGATTTTTTAAAAATTATATTGTATGTGATGTTCAGTGGAGTTGGAACACTTGATATTTCAACATTTCATTTTTGTTTCTGTGGGGTGGCAAGGAAAAACAACAACAAAATAATAATTTCAGTCAATGTAAACTGATTTTTTTTTCTAATTTTCAATTTGACAAACTAAAGCACCAAACATTATTTTTAGAGCTCTATACAAATTATTCTTTTCTGTATCTTTCTCCATTCTTTCCTCAATGTATTATTTCTAAAGGTCCTCATGGCCCCCCAACTCCTAACAATAATATGCTATTTAATCTTTGAAATTAAGTTGAATTTTTATCATCTTTTGAAGCTAGAGCTAAAGCTTGTTGAAATCATTATAAAGACTCTCATTAATGTCAAATGACTGGGGCCTTGAAACTGAGCAGTGATATTCACATTCAGCCAGAAGGTTTTCATTCTAGTAGCAATTTTTATGGCAAAGTAAATTCAAATTGGAAATAGGTACATACATTTCACTACTTCTTCCTTTACCTGCACCTGTGGAAACTATTCAAGTCTACTGACTTGAAGGGTATATGACTACAAATGACATTATTTTATGACTTAGTCCTCACTGTGTTGATATACATTTGTAATGATATATGTTGTGTGTTAATATATATTAAAATTGTAATATATTGCAATAGATTTAAATTATTTTATATCAAACACAAATGTGTGTGTAATATATATATATATTTAGTAGAAATGTGGAAACATGACAGATTTAATCTTTTCACAATATACATACACTTTAGGTACTTACTTATCAAACATAGCAATACATGTAGTAATATAACATGCATGTGTACAATGTATATGTCACTCACAAGAATATTTAGCACCATTTTACCTTCCTTTATATCTTACCATGCTATAACTTTTTCCCAGTTGCAGTCAAAGCTTGTACACATAATAACATGAGACCTTTATTGTCTTGAAATTAAAGCTTTTGAAGTTTCTTCCTCTCTGAAACAAAAAAGAAAGCACATAGTTGACATCAAAGTGGAGACATACTGATGACTAGTAATTATGGTAACTTAATGTTATCCAATCTCTATCCATTTACAAGCCTGCCTTTACTTTCAATATTATGTATTTTGATCAACACCTCTAGAAATAACCAAGTGCCCAGCTACTTATAAAATCTTTACTGAATATAGTTGGAAGTCAAATACTGCTGTAATAATTTTTATATATAATATTGTGGCTTTTTTGAAACCTCATTTAATTACTTTAGTTGGGTGTTACCAGATGTGAAACCAGACACAAGGGTGCATTTTTACAATTTAAACACAGCTGCTTAGGACACAATCTGGTTTAGGACACAAGAGATAGATTTAAAATATTACATTTATATTAAAAATAGCAGGGAATCATATACAGACCAGCTAAAGGTCTTCTTGGCAACTTTATTCAACTCCAAATGAATCCATCCAATCCAAGTCCAAAAAAAGGCTTCAGAAACTAGCTGGTGAATGGTAATATGTTATCACACCCCACCCCTCAAAAATCCCAGTATAAACACATGTACATAGAATGTTGCTCTGTTTTTTAATTAAACGCTCCATTATTTTACTATGTGCATTATGTAAGGTGGACTCTAGAATCAAGAATGAAATGCATCTGCATCTTGGAACAGTTTTAAACACTTCTAAGTACCAGGATAACAAACTCAAAAGAAGTTTATTTATCTTGGGCATTTGAGTTTTACAGCCTTAAGAGAAAATAACTTTAGAAATCCTGGAGGGGGTTTCCACCCTATTCTTGAATATGTGACGGTACTGGCCAAATTGTTGATATGCTTAGCAGAGCATGTAAGGTAGTGAGAGCAGCTGAAATAACTCTGTGCGTCTTCTGCATGTTGACCTCTGTACCACACGTATGCAAGGAGGGAGAGTGGGCAGCAAAACATTTACATCAATATTTTAACAAGAGCTGTGTAGGATTGGAAGAACGTATCCAGTAAGTCAGCTTTCTTTTGCCTTAAAAGAAAATAAAATCCCAAAGCAAGTAAGTTTGATGTACTGTCAGTTTAAAACATGCTCACAGTATGTATTTTAAGTTGACAACTGAAATTATAGTCTTTTGTAGCTGTATTCCATCCCTGTAAATACCATCTCCAATGCCCACCTTTATTATTATCTTACATTTAGTTCACAAGTATATTTATGTACTATTTTGTAAAAAAAGAGATGTCTTTCCCCTGACTTCTTAACAGACTGTGATCCACCAGAAGAAAAAAAAAGGATTTTCTTAAAATAATACTATGATGATAACACTCTCCCTTCTGAACCCTCTTTCCTAGCTTGAGCTCTATTTGTGACATGATTTACAGAAATAGTACAGATAAAAAGCCAACCTTGCCAGGCACTTCTTCCAAGCTGCTCTCTGTATCTGACACTTGGTGCTGCTTTCAGTGACTGCTTTGGTGCAGCAACAGCTGCAGTAGCTAAATAGAACCAGCAGTCTCTTCTCTGACTAGTTCACTGCAGTGCTCATTTTAACATGTTTTTTCAAAACAGGAAAGCATTCCTCAGCTCAGCATTATAAATATTTTCTCAGTAGTACCATGACCAATATTTAACTGGGTAGCAAATTCATTTGAGAGCAATCAAATGTGATAAAACCTGAGTTTTCAATGGAAACAAAAATCATTCTCACATTTCCATAGAGTTTACAAATCTATAAATGTAGAGGGGATTTATTTTTCCTGTGGATTCACACTTGTAACTTCCATCATTGCTAATGGGTGCCTACACACATCTATAGCAACAGGGACTCCCACAGTGTTATGGAATGACTTACTTTCTTTTTCATGTTTTTATTGATTTTGCCCAATAACAATACACAGAATTTTGTCATTCCATCAGGGGGTTTTGGCAATCCCCAGTGTTTCATTAAAGTCAGGACCCAGTAATGGAACTGCAGTGACAAATGTATAGTGCAAATATGTATTGCTTTGTAATATTTTCATCTTATCTTTGCCTTCCTTCAGTAAAGGAAGATTCTTAACTAGTCACAATAGTGGGTCCCTGGAGCTATAAAAAGGATGATATGACCGCAGCATAAAGTATTCAGAAGTGCTTTAAGTCATACTTTGTGTATTGTGGCCAAAACCCTCAAATGAAATTAGGTACCTATCTGCCTCCTCATGGCATGTGTCCACCATGAGGCACCACCAACAATTTCAAAACCAGCAATCCTGTAAGCCCATGGGATGTCACCCTACAACTGATAAACTGTTTGAAATTCTGGCTGGAGCTAAAGCATGGAAGGTCCCACAGCAAAATTCTCAGTCTAAGTGGGGCAACACCCATCCCACCGACATGCTGAGAGCAAGCATAACACCTGCTGGCTGCCATATCAGGAAAGCTAGAGGGGAGCTAACAGTAATTGAAGGGGCAGCAGAGCACCCACAAAAAACGTATCCAAAGATGCAGAAAAGTGCATAGCAATGAGGGAGGTATAGAGAATTAGTAAGCTAAAGAGCAATCAATTTAGTTATTTAGCCATGGGTTACCTAAATAATTGACCTTGGCCTTGGTGCTTAATGTCAATTAGAAGGCAAGTGGATGAATATCCTGAGGAAAGGAAAGGGTTTATCTTACCAGCCAAATGAAAAAGAGCAGATTTAGCTCCTTCTCCTTGTTATTTAAATCCTATCTAATAGGGCTGTGTGAAGCTTCGGTCCCTGATACAATTTGGTAGAGATTTGGCCCAATTCAGTGGCTGAATCGCCAAATCCGAATCGAATCAGAGAACCCTTTAATCTCTCTGAATCAAATCGGAACCCTCAGAATTGATTCGGAGAGATTTGGAAAGATTCAGGCGTAGCAAAACCCCCATTTTGTTTTTACACGCACACACACGCACATAGATATATGCATATGATAGATATGCATTCCCTTCCCCAATTATTTCTGGCTTTTCTTTCTCTCCCTCTCTATTCCCTATAGACAAGCGTAAGTGAGCTCAGACTTAGCATAAGGTTTAACATTTTTATTTTGGTAGCAAGTTATTGGTTTTGGATATCCACTGTTTTATATTGTATTATTATTAAGTCTGTATTGATTCTTACTGTTGTATATTGTATTATTATCATTTTCGTATTCATTTTCATTGTTTCATATGGATATTGTATGGCTTAAGCCTGTGTTTGTAAGTGAACCAAAGTAATGTCAAGTTTCCATTTTGTATCTCAAGTCTCCATCTTGTGTCTTCTGCCCGGGCATCTTCTGTGTCACAACTGTATGAGTCACGTACCCCTCCCATGTAAATTGCTTCCTGGATGAATGAGAGTGATTGGGAATGATTGAAATACAATGGTAGCAGGCCTCTACTGAATGGCCTGTAAGGACTGGGCCATCACCTCTCATTGATTTATCCAGGAACCATGGACCTCACCCAGGAACAGAGATAAGAACCCAGCATTTGAAAGACAAAAGACCCTGCAGGACCAGCAACTCTACCATTGCACCCCACCATTATAGACACCTGAAACTGCACATCCCTACATGGAGCACACATGCTCAATACACCAGGGGTTGACCCTTGCCTGGGCGTGCTTCCTGCCACTGGGGTCACACATAAGGTCTTCCCCTATAAAAAGGGGCAGTGAAGACAGACCCAGTGAGACGCCCTCTCCATCTGGACCAGCACCATGCCACACCACCTATTCACCCAGAGGCACTGCTGGCGACCTACCTCTGGACAACACCTACTGGACAAGGACCCCTTTCCAGCCTGGACAGGTAGCTATCAACCCCGCCCCCGCCCCTTCAACCAAGGACTTGGACTCTGCTTCTGTTCCCCACCTGGACTCCAGCCCTTCCGCTGGGTCTCTTTCTCCTGCTGCCATTGAGTGCTTGTGTGTGTGAACCAATAACTTCATGGGGCTGTGTAGTGTGTTGTCTGTGTAATAAAACTGTTATTTGGATCCCTAAGTTGGGCTTTGCTTTCCTATGGTTTGGCCCTGCTCCAATCTCTGCTCCTCGCCCCTGTAACTTCTGTCTCATTTCTCCCTCTCTTGCTTCTGGCTCACTGCCACCTCCAACACCTGTCCTGAGCTCCTCTCTGCCTCCAAACCCCCTGTTTCTTTGCCACTATCTTATTCCCACTGCCTTTTCCTTTTCCCCTGAGCAACCAGGTTTCTGCCTCAGTTTCTTTCCTGGCTTTCTCCTCCTTGCCACCACTTATCTGCCCCC